AAGGCAAATGGGGGATTGGACATATAGATCCATATTTTCTTGATCACAGTACTAGTTGGATGTGATTGGTCAGCTTCATACCCCTACCGCTTTGTCCCCGGGAAAAGAGCCCCCGGTACCCATTGGATGGGAGGTTGGGTGGACCCCCCACTGGGACTTGAATTCCGACCCTTCAGTCGTCCAGCCTGTAGCCAGTCACTGTACCGACTACACTATCCCAGCTCCTCTTAAATAACCTAGATATTTTAACACTTTGTGGACCGGCGATTTAAATATTTAAATCACCCTGAGGACCGGCATTTTTATACTTACTACCCTAACTTGTTCACTGTTCACTTTAAAAATCAATATAAAATCTCCTAATTTTATGAACTAAACTTTTTGGAGAACACTTACCAATGCTCCTAGAAGTGCTTGAGAATGTGATATTTCTGGAAACATTCTCTTTTGTGAAGTGGCATTGTACACTTGCAGATGTAGACAGTCATAGTCCTTTTTTTTTGTGAACTGCGCAAACACGGCATTGCCTAGAAGGATGCTTCCCCTTGGAATGTTCACTCTTCACAATTTTCACGAGGGTATGTTTCTGCATATCACCCGAGAGTTGCCCAGGGATGTCCACATGAGGCCTGCGTGGGGTGGGAGTTCATGGGCTAGGTCGCACTAAGTCTGTCAGACTCTGGTTCTGCCGCCACCATCTGGTCTGTAGCCCAAGCCTTTGCCAAATTCATCAGAAATGCTTTGTATTTGAAATTAGAATTAGGGTTTAGATTTTTGTAAACCAAAAATGAATTGAAAATGGCACAATTTATAAGGCGCAAGGCAACTTTCTCTTTTATTATCTGTGGCCACAATTCTTTGTTGACCCCTGTCACTTATACTGTCTGAGTCACTAATCACTACTCCTCCACAAGGCACGTCAGATAGCTCATCGAAAACAAGTCAGAGAGATCGCTTGCCTTCAACCGCTTTTGTCCTTGAAATATATTCTACTCTACTAACTTCGTGCCTTGTACATAAACAGCTGGAAGGGACAGAGTATATTTTCTTTTGACGTAGGGACCCTAGCCAGCCAGGTCAAGTTACTGAATACCTAGCATACATTCCGAAGATTTATTATGCAGTATTCATTGCAGCTGTGTGGCGCCAGAGCACGGTATAGTCTGTTACAACCTAACGTGTCCTAAAAGTATAATATTATGCAACTGGTCTGCCACGGATAAATAAAATACATCCATCAAAATTCTGTTGCACTGCATTCGGCACCATAGCATGGATGTTATGTCATTACAACTGTGCATATAGTTGTCTATGCAGTGTTTTGTTTCCATGTTATGTGTGTTGCTGTGGCTTGCAGTTTTTAATTCTGTTTCTCAGGGATGTCGATCAAGTGCATGACATGATGGATGACATAGCAGAGCAGCAGGATGTTGCAAAGGAGATTTCAGAAGCTATTTCAAACCCTGTTGCCTTTGGTCAAGATGTCGATGAGGTCAGTTCAGAAACCTTGAAAAAGATATCTATGTTTAAGGTAACTAGTATGATTTTTAATTACATATGTTGAAGCAAGATGGAATTAACATGCAGCTTGTGTTTCAGGATGAACTGGAACGTGAATTAGAAGAACTTGAACAAGAGGAGCTCGACAAGGAACTGCTGGGTGTGGGACCTTCAGTAGATGAATTACCAAGTGTACCTACCACCGACATTGCGAGGCCTACTCCAACTAAATCGAAAGCCAGTGGGTATCTGTATTTGCAGTTCATGCTAAGATTACAAAAAGTTATTGTTGTGAGTTTAATTTGGCATACTGGATCAGTGTTTGCTTTAAATTGTTTGCTCTCAAATATTTCCAGAATCTCGAACTGAAGAGGAGGAGGATGAATATATGAAAGAACTGCAACAGTGGGCTTCATAAACATGTCACAATACATTTAGCAGCAGACATCAGAAATTCAGTACTAGAATATGAATTTATGAAACATACTCCACAGCTTGCTTTATATTGGCCATTATACTGCAAGCACGAAGGAAGTCATAAGACATTTTAAAATTTGTTGATGCTGATCTGGCACTGTGTATATTAGTCTAATTTAAATTCAATATAAACTAGCCTCTAATCAGTTATATTTCTTCTGGTGGTATTGTGCTTACTGTAAATTTTAATGGACAAAAAAATTGCTAAGAAATTACACAAATTAATGTGATAAGCCAAGATTAATTAATTTTCCTTATGCCATGTATTATAAATAGTTAGGAAGAATGCCTTATTTACAAGAGGAGTAATTTTGCGATTCTTAAGGTACTTGCTGTTAAAGTACCATACTTTTTTACTTGCTGTAAATATAGGAATTATCATACATGTGATATCAAACTGCTGTGAAACAGTGTTACAGTTTATGGGCAGCATGAAATTAACAAAGTTTAACAATGAATGGAGATTGTATGAATGTAATTATCTGTCAATATGAAAATGAGTTAGTTTAATGTAAATTTGCTCTCTTCATGATCAGACACTTCTGGGAGAAGTTTAACTCCTAATACCCTTCATGAATGTAGTCCTGCATGGCTGTGACCATAAATTTTGTTTTCATTGTCCAATATATCCTTTCTACAAACCATTCTTACAAGTTAATGATTGCAAATGTGTTTTTTTTTCAGTGAGGTCCAAAGGATGGTTAAAGAGTACTATTCAGAGAGTTTTCTGTACTAATTAAACATTACAGTGTCTATCCAGTGTACAACACTCTGTATTGAAAAAGAGAGTGCCATTTATTGAAATAATGCCTACCCTTAACATGTTGGTTGGTTTCCAATAGCTGCATTTGGAATCGTTTAACCCATTTTCCTTCTTGCTTTGTTGAATCTTGTTAAGATTAGGGCATTGAAGGTGTTCTTTTCCCATAGATGACCCTGGCAAGTTGCACAGTGTAAATTCTTCTCTGTTATATATTCCTATCTTACAAAGGCAGTCATGTCCTGTATTCAATAAAAAATTTGCAACGGCTTCTTGTCTGGGTTTCTTGCTGTTAATTTCCCAAAGTTTACTTATTTCTGACATTTTCTTGTTGTATGGTGTATTTCTTGTTTTAGTTTTGATTTTGTTAGCTAGCATGTGGGCACTTAAGATTTTATTTTGGCAATGCAGTCTTTTGTCCTTTGCCAGTTCATCAGCAATATCGTTTCCATTGATGCCAACATGTGATGGTATCCACAAGCAGAACCGCTTTATTAAACATGTTTCCTGTAACAAAATGTAAAGCAATTATAAGCAGAAGTGTAACACATGATTTAATAAAATAACTGAAAACAAATTAATTCTGTAAAAACTATACCTTTTTTTAGGGTAACCTAGTTATGTTTGAGGTAAGACATTAGGATTTTGTCTAA